CTGATGTTTGCCAAAAAAAAAAATGACTTTCAGAGAGAGACCTTCTCAGAATCTTATCTTTCCTTTCATTTTCACCAGTTTGCATTTCAATATGGACTGTGCAAAGAATGGCTCCCAGAGGATTTACAGCAATAAATTTTACCAAAAAGTGCCACAAGTATTTGTGAAAATTATATCACAGCTGTTTATCTTAATTTAGGAATTTCCAAGAGATCATTTTCCGCTCCACTGTCCTATTTGTCAGGAAAAACTCAGTCCAAGGGCAAAAACAAAGTTCGTTCACTGGACGAAGGGGCAGTGCTTCGAAAACTGGTGTTTTCAAATAAACCTGTTGGAGTGTAATGTGGTGCTGTCTGATTTTTGACCTTGTCTACCACAGTCCAACAGCACAGGGACAAAGGTGGTACACATGCTGAAGATAACTGGGGGGGTGGGGGTAAATGATAGGTGGGGAAAATGACGACGAGGCGGTGGTGGTGGGTGGAAGAGAGAGAGAGAGAGAGAGAGAGAGAGAGAGAGAGAGAGAGAGAGAGAGAGAGAGAGAGAGAGAGAGAGAGAGAGAGAGAGAGAGAGAGAGAGAGAGAGAGAGAGAGACAGACAGACAGAGAGAGAGACAGAGACAGAGACAGAAAAGAGAGAGAGAAAGAAAGAGAGAAAAGAGAGAGAGAAAAGAGGAAGTAGTTGCGCCGACAAAGGAATGGGTAAAGGCGAATGAATAGCTACTAATGGGGACCGTTAGTGGCTGACAAATCAATCAAATAAATTGTTTGTGGTAGCAGCCCATGTAATGACAAGGTCAAAACAAAAACCAAAAAGAACTGCGATGCTGGAAATCTGAAACAAACACAGAAATTGCTGGAAGAACTCTGAAGTACTTCAAAACTTCTTCAGAAGTGTCACTGGATCTGCAAAGTTAACTCTTTTCTCCCCAAAGCTGCTGCCAGACCTGCTGAACTTTTCCAGCAACTTTTGTTTTTGTTTCTGGTGACAAGGTTTGGTGTGCGGTGCTTGGGGGCGGGGTGGGGGGGAAAGAGGTAGGCGGGGAGAGGAGGACATGCGAGGTGGTGTTCAGGGCCTAAAATTATTTACCTCGATGTCAACTCCTGAAGGATGCAGGGTCCCCCAAAATGGAAAATGAGATGCTGCTCTTCCAGCTTGTGCTGAGCTTCGCTGGAACACTGCAGCTAGCCTGAAACAGAGATGTTGGCCAGGGAACAGGGTGGTGTGTTAAAGTGGCAGGCAACTGGAAAGTCCGGGATCATCTTTGTGGACAGAACGTAGGTGTTTTGCAAATCGGTCACTCAGTCTGTGTTTCATCTCTCCAATGTACAGGAGACCACATTGTGAGCAGCAAATACAGTAGACTAGATTGAGTAAAGTGCAGGTAAAGCGCTGCTTCACCTGGAAGGGGTGTCCGGGCCCTTGGGTAGTGAGGACGGACCGAGTAAATGGGCAGGTGTTACACCTTCTGTGATTGCAAGGGAAGGTACCGTGGGGGAGGATGTTGGGAGTGGAGGAGGAGTGGACCAGGGTGTCCTGGAGGGAATGGTCCCTGCGGAAGGCTGACAACGGAGGGGAGGGTATTGTGTGCCTGGATGGTGGCATCTCGCTGGAGGTGGCGGAAATGGTGGCTAATGATCCTCTGGATGTGGATGCTGATGGGATGCTAGGTAAGGACAAGGGGAACCCTATCGCTGTCGCGGGAGGGAAGAGAGTGGGTGCGGGCCAAAGTACGGAAAACGGCTTGGACCCGATTGTGGGGCCTAGCAACCACAGTGGTGGGGAATCCTCGGTTGAAGGAGAAGAAGGACGTTTCGGAGGCTTCCTTGTCAAAGTTGGCATCATCAGAATAGATGTGATGGAAATGGAGGAACTCTGAGAATGGGATGGAGTCCTTACAGGAAGCAGGGTGTGAGGATATATCATCAAGATAACTGTGGGAATCAGTAGGATACTCGTGCACACAGTCTTGTGCCATCAGGCTTCATCAAAGTAGAATCAGAATCATGATCATTCAAGTCATAAAGAATCTGAAAGCTAACAAACAGTGGAGTTTTATATGTCATCACAGCTGGGCAGCACTTGAACAGAAGTTCCAACTATTCCAGTGGATCTACTGTTGTTCAGTAACCAACACACATCAGTCCTATTCACTTATCGCCCAGTTCTTGCTGACTTTCATTGGCTCCAGTCTGGCAATGCCTGTAATTTAAAATCTCCTCAAATCCATCCAGGATCTTGCCCATGCAGAACACAAATCCATGCTCCTCTAATCTGGTTTCTTATGTATTCCATGATTCAACATCAATGGATATTCCTAAAATTAGCTAACCACTAAAAACTCTGGAATTCACTCACACAAACTCTCCAGCCCTCAAACTTGATCTTAAAAGAGGAGAGAATAGTAATGCCTTTGGCCAGGTGAGTCCTATTCACTTTTGTGATGAAAATGTGCCATTTACATCCAACTGACTAAGCCAACAATCTATGACCAGTAACATTTACGGAGCACAAAGTTCCAGGCATTGTGGGTGGTAACAATTCAACAACTCGGCCCAGCAATAAGGTAAGGGTTCATAGCAAGTTTTCAATTGGTCATTCACAGCAGTTTTTTAAAATTTCGTTTTGGATGGTAGGTGTCATTGGCTAACCAGCATTTATTACCCATCCCTAATTGCCCAGAGAGCAGTTAAGAGTCAACCAAATGGCTGTGGGTCTGGAGTCACATGGAGGCCAAACCAGGTGAGAATGGCAGTTTCCCTCTCTCAAGGAGATTAGTGAACCAGATGGTATTGTATAAAGAAATCGACAGTGGTTATATTTGATTAGTTTTTAATTCCAGACTTTTTCTTTTACTGAATTCAAATTTCACCATCTGCCCTAGTGGGGTTTGAACATGTACCATGAACATCATAGATTTCCTACAATGTGGAAATAGGCCATTGAGGCCACACCAACCCTTCAAACAGCATCCCACTTAAACTCTCCCCCCTACCCTATCCTTGTTACCCTGCATTTCCCATGGCTAATCCACCTTGCTGGCACATCCCTGGACACTACAGGCAATTTAGCACAGTCAATCCACCTAACCTGCGCATCTTTGGACTGCGAGAGGAAACTGGAGCACCCGGAGAAAACTCACAGATGCAGGGAGAATGTATAAACCCCACGCAGACAGTCGTCCGAGGCTGGAATTGAACCCAGGTCCCTGGCGCTGTGAGGCAGCAGTGCTAACCACTGAGCCACTGTGCCGCCCAGCATTATTAGTCCAGTGACTTTACCACTGAGCCATCGTCACCCTGACATTCTGTCCTCTAAACTGGAGGTCATCCAAAACTCTGCTGCAATTGTTTTGAACTTATAGGAAGTCACTGAAGAGGAGTTCAAAAATGTTACAAGCAGTCGACACCATTAGTGAATGGCCATAAGGAACAGAAGCAGACTCCATGTTAGGAATGCTGTAGGTTACTATGGTACTGGTATGGAGCTAACAATGCAGATTCTGCACAGGAACACTGTCTAAGGAGTCAAGAACAGCTGGATAGCTGTTTGGTTCGAAAATTCATGAAGGAATTCAATGAATTAGTGGGCAGCCGACTATTGGAGTCATGTTTCAGAAGTCATTCTGGGGAGCTGAGAAAAGTGGAATGGTTGCTGGCTGTGTTGGGGGGAAGCTGTGGGGTTAGGGAGGGATAACTGCAAGCATTAATATTGCAGTACAGCTGCGGCAGTTGGGGGTGATAAGCAGTTTGTGCTGGACGCAACCGAGCGAGATTAGAAGAAGAAGTCGAGGGAAAAACCCAGAGGCAGTTTTAACTTGGTGAAGCTGGTCATCGGTGAAGAGCCGGAGTTAAGCCTGTGAATGAATACTGGAATGTGGTTAAGCGTCCAGGGATGGTGTAGACACGGGAAACAAGAGAGTGATCAACCAGAACAGGAGCACGTGAACATACGAATAACAAATAAGAGTAGGTCACTTGGCCATTCAAGTCTGCCACACCACTCAATAAGATCATGGCTGACCTGAGCAGTCCGTTATGGAACAGCTACAGAGAGAGTGAGTTTTGTCAGATTGGCAGAAGTGAAGCATTAATTCCTTGTGAAGTTTAATTAGCTTAATGTCTGTGGGGAGTTGCTGACAAATCCATCAGACCTTTCTTGGCCATATTTGCTATTTGAGACATGCTGGGAGGTGTTCATTCAATGTCTATGTCAAAATTCTAACACGCAGAATTAATAATATGGTAAATGCATGTACTGTAGGTCATTTTACTGTTCTCTAACATTGCAAAGTTTGTTACTATTTGTTCAAAATTGTGGAATTCTGTTCTCTCATGTCCCCTGGATTTCATACTTTGACTATTTTCAAAAGTAACGTTTCAGTTCCAAGCCAGATCATATGATGAATTTGGCACTTTCATCTAGGATTGTAACATTCTTCACAGGGTTTGGTGATAAATTTTGTTTGATATTGTTCCCATGATGCGCTTGAGGCAATTCAATACATTAATAGTGCTTTGTAAATTCATGTTGTTACTATTGTTCAGCAAACATTTTTACTGGTAGCATTCTGAGCTGCTGATACTAAACGGGTAGGACACACACGTGAATTCTTCAGCACAAGAGAGGCTCAAACTTGTTAAACATGAATAGGCTTATAGTACAGTACTCAATAGCTAGTTGTATCACATCTGGGTTATACCACTGTCTCTTGGGAGACCTCAGGTCAGACCTGATTGCAAGTACATGTTACCGTGGAGCTATATGGAACTTAAATAATAGAGTAACCACCAAACTGGTAAGCTTCACCAGCAACAGTCTTTTATAAGCTCTGCCTAGAATATATCATATCAGTTAACCCTTTCAGCTGCTAACAGCCTTGTACAATATGTATAACTAATTTGTCACAGACACAAATCCTGAACCATAATATTCTCCTTTATGAGCAAGCGTTCATCTAATTAACAACAGAATAAAACAAGTTTGCTTTTTCTTATTACCAAGGTTGGGATCTGTGGCCTGTCGCTTCTTAATCTTGGCTTCAGAAATAGCAGCATAATAAGCACAGGTCATTTTTATCAGCCATGCTCCCCTCAACATTGGCACGGAATACTTGGCCAAGTAAGCAAAGGCTTCTTCCTTCTTGCTAAGGATGGGGACCTATGCAGAAGGAGAAACAAAATGCAGTTGGTTATAAATCAATGTTGCACAGAAATACTTGGGTCCATTCAGAAAAGGCAAAAATGCAGCAACACCCTCCCCACACCTTCCAACTCATCACTGCCCCATCAGGAACCGTTGTTTCAAATGCAGTCCAGTTTGAGTCACGTAAACAGAGGCCATGATTCCAAAATAAGACAGCCTCGTCACACTCAATGTTACGCAGTCTTTTGGACCGACTACTACTAGAGAGAGAGAGAGAGAGAGAGAGAGAGAGAGAGAGAGAGAGAGAGAGAGCGAGAGAGCGAGAGAGCGAGAGAGCGAGAGAGCGAGAGAG